CTTTATTTTATTTTATTAAATATACTACAAAATATAATTTTTTTGTAAGTGAAAGACTTACAATATGAACTGAAAGACTGCTAAATTTTGTGAAGATATACCCACTATATTGAAAGTTAGAAGTATTATATCTAGAAAGACTTTAATCGAGTACAAATAGTCAAATTGACTGAGCCCATGTTGAGAGACTTAAGAGACCTTCATTTGGTTTCAAGTTTGTGCCAGTCTGCATTCTGATACATTGGAGTCTATGGTGGAGTCTGCACATCAACCATCTTCCCTTTCCTCCTTGGTTTCCCATCTTTCCCAGCCCTCTCTTACTTCAATTCCCATGTCTTCCTTCCTTCTTCTTGTGCCTTCTTTCCAGGTTTTAGTGGTGAGCTATCAAATTGCTCATCGCTGTGTTTCCAGTGCCAGTTCCATTGGTGACTATACTGTAGGTTCTGGCATTGTTGAAACAAGGTTGGCCAGGTTTGTGCATCTGTGGTGTCCATTTATCACAGATCCCTTGGATCTTCAAGTTCTATTAAAAAAGACTCTCCCTTCATTTTTCTACCCCTTACTATTCACATGTCCCATTTCCTTCCCTCCTCCATGGGATCCCATTTCATGGCAGCGTCTCTTGGAAGCTGTTCAAGATCTTTTACACAAGGACTCTATCAAACAAGTTTGTCACCCTTCTCCAGGGTTCAATCCCCAGTCTTTATTGTTTCCAAAATGACTGGGTATTGTCCTGTCATCGATCTATCCAACCTCAACTGCTTCATTGACCTCCCTCAGTTCATCATGGAGTTTTTCCTAACACTTTGGTGGGTGTTCAATCTGGGTCTCTGGATGACAAAGGTCGATGTTCCAGATGCATACCTTCACATCCCTCACTCTCCAGCTTCCAGATGTTATCTTTGTTTTGTTCACAGAAGGCGAGTTTTCCAATTCCATGATCTACATTTGGTCTGGCATCAGCACCTTACATCTTCTGTGGTGTGGTAAGAGCCTTTGCCCACCATCTTCACGACCACAGTTTGTGGATCCATCATTATATGGATGACAGGCTCGTTTTAGCTCCATCCTAACAAGCCTCTCACTCATACAAGTTTCTTTCTATAGGAGGCTGCTCGTGTGGAATGACTTGTCAAGCTGGAGAAGTTCTATCTCAATCCCACTAACTCTTTGATTCATTTGGGGATGTTTTTCACCACCTTCCTCAGCAGGACCCAACATCCTCCTCTTCGTTTGACATTGATGGAGCTTTTGGTTTCCAAAGCCAAATCCTCTCCTTCTCTCCTTGTGCATCCTTCACACTTCATTTCGACTGTGAGAGGGTAAATTCTTTCTTTTACTTTCTTTTTATTTCTTACTATTAAAGTGGCCCTTTTCTCATTCTTTGGATCCTGCTTTGTGGCAAGTGGTGTTTGTCCAGGTATACTTCAAATAAATTCACACCATAAGGCCATGTAGGTCTAAAATGCTCACTGGAGAGATTGAGTGTCCCACAAGACTGCTAGAGGTTGATTTGTGGTGTCTTGCTTCATAAGTAAGGCTCGAACCAGACTGTACTAACTCATGGACTATCATGAGTTAACTAGTGTTAGGATCACTGCCCATCCCTCGGAACTGGTTGAATAAATAGGGACCGGCCTGTTTTTCAAAGTAGTGTTTTTATGGTCGCTCATTGCACTGTCTTACTGTGTTGCATTCCTCCAAATTCTCCACTGCATTGTCCCCCCACTTCCAGTGGAGTATGGGTGTCCTTGCTACTTACCAGTTCCAAGCTGCTGGGTGGTGGACCATGGAATATTCCTCCTGAGTGTGACTGTTTTCACTAAGTCGATAGTAGGGTGGTGGTGTTTTGCTGGTGTAGATAGTGAATACTTTCCTCCTACTGTAGACCAGAAGAGAAATACCTAATACCACCTGGATTTTGACTGGACAAATCCACCACATGCAGTTCACTGATCCACCTGGCTTTCCCTCTTCTTACCACTTCCTGGATGTCAGTTCCCAGGTGGTCTGGTGTTAGATTGTTATAGGACCACCCAACATAAGTCTTGATACATATGGTTGGTAGGGACCCTCCTCTTACTAAAAATGGATGAAAAATTCCTGCCACTGCCTGGTTTTAAACTGGAGTTGACCCACCATGTTGCATTCCCCTTTCCCACCATTACCAGGATGTTGGGTTCCCAGATGGCTTGTTGTTGGTTGTGTATTGGGTCTGCACACACGTGCTCTGGCTGGGTTAGCAAAGCAGAAGTTGTTTTCTATTCTGTTTCCTAGTCTTAGGTGAAGGTGGTTAGGACCTTCCTTCTACCTTAGATTGGAAGATAAATACCTAATGCTGTCTGGTTTTAGACTGGAGTCAACCCACCGAATACAGATGTGCATCCTTTCCACCCAATTTAGTGACACATATCTTTACAACAGGTGAAGAGTATACCTGGTGCAAATGGGGTGCAGTGTCCCACGGGGGCTCATCTAGGTAACTTTTGCAACAGTTCCTCCACTGTTTCAGTGTGAGATTCTAGCTATAATGTGAGCGGGATACACTGAAAATGTATTTATAATAGATATTTACCTCTTCTCACCCATCCTACCTACTTCGGGCACATATTTTTTGCCTAATCTCAAAGTGATGATAGTGCTCTACATTATAGAGGGAGTCACTCCTATTGGTGGCAGGTTGTTGCATGCTTAGTTGAATGCCACAGCACAGCTATACTACATGTAAACATGTGAGTGTTGGTGGGAGCATCAAGTCTAGTGGCGAGCAAAAATTGTACATATAGAGGGCAGCACAAGTCAAGAAAAGGTATGTGAGAGAAGGTAAGTATCTATCAGAAACACATTTTCAGCGTAGGAAAATGCTAACTTCAGTTATTTACTTTAAAAGCATATGTTCAACTCTACTAGGAGTATCAGTAATGTTTTGTGTATTTAATGTTTAGTCCTTCAGTAAATTTATGGACTTATAACACTAAAATCCAGGGTTGGATTCCCCACAGTGGACAAAGCAAATAGCCCAGTGTGGCTTTACTCTAAAAAACAATCAAACAAACAATTTAATGTCTAAATGTAGATTGAAATGTAGTTTGTCATTTGAAACCCCTTATGTTAGATCACCTATCTGCTTTGAATTAGTATATTACAAAAGGGATACTACCTAGAACATAAGAAGAAAAAGAAGGAAAGAAAAAATTGTGCATGATTTTGTAATACCAAACATTTTCTTTTTGATTGGGTATAAATTATCAAATGGAGTTTTAAACTATGATTCAATAATTTAACCTTTTTTTATCTTGGGAACCTTCTGGTGCACACTTGCTTATCAAGTTTCAAAATTCAAGTAAAAATGGTAATTCTATTGCTATTTCAATAATCTTTGTACTCAAAATTATTTTAGAATTCATATTTTGCAATTTTTGTAACATTTATTTAGTGTAGTTTGCAAAGAAAATTTTTAAATGTTTCAGTTTTGATTTCTTGAAAACCCCCGAGGTCTGTAAACAGTGGACTATATTAAAAAAAATATTCTGTCCATCCAAAAGTATAATTTTATATCTCCACAGAGACTTATCCATGCTTTGTTTCTCATGTGACTTTCCTTTTTCTGTCAATAATTTTATTTTTACAATCCTGTGTGGCAAGCCTTTTATGATGTCATAACAAGTGAATTGGGCAGTAACTGATAATAATAAACCTTAGCTTTAAAAGCTGGTAGAACCAATAATTAAAGATGATTGGATAGAAAAGAATCTTGTATATTTATATTAGTGTAAGATGTTCTTTTCATTTTTGATAATCTTTTTTTTTTTTTGTGTTATTTCTGTTTGAAAGCTACATAAGTATTCTTCTATGAGCGGATATCAGATAAGGGTATTAAAAGTTAGCTATTACAGTGAGCTAAGAGTTTTATCATGGCAAGTTATTCAGATGGCTTAAGCCCTTTTTTATTTTTTATATTAATAAATTTATTGTTACTCAAACAATACCTACTTTAATATAGGCCCAGGATATGAGTGCAAGTTGTGCTTCTACTGGTTAACACATTTACTGTTTTTTGCAGCTACATGAATGATTCAGTGTGTAAAGATTAATAATAAACATAAATAATTTATAATTATCAAACAAGTTAAAACACATTTGGATATATAAAATGGAACTTACTTATCAATAAAATTAAAAAACAATTAGTTTTGTTTCTGTAATATTTTACTATAATTAATTTCATTGTGCATCAGATATTATATGAACAGATGAGAAAATGAGTATGCTGTTTATACTAGAACCAACTCAGCCATAAAAATTTTAGTTTTTGTTTTAAATAACATTATTGGATAGATTTACAAAATCTGAGGCATAATATAAAATAAATATAATTCAAGATGAAAGGAGGTATTTTTTAAAAATAACATTTCACAATGAAATTTCTGAAAATTGAAAACATAAAAAATTATACAAATATCAGATCAAATCATATAATTGTTTTCAACCACAAACAATATGTTGAAAGTGTGTATCAAATTGTTTGGAGCCTGGCATGATCAGGTGGTAAGGACACTCGACTCGTAATCAGTGAATACTGGGTTTGAATCTAATCACTGAATATGCTTGCACTTTCTGCTTTTGGGTTACTAATTTGATGGTCATTCACAACATTCAATTAGAATGTTTTAGAGTTGGGGGTGGGTGATGCTCAACAGTTGCTTTCCCTTTAATCTGCCACTTCTAAATCAGTATAGCCATTGTATAGCTTTGCATGAAATTTAACAAACAAACAAAATCAAATTTCATGCACTTAATTTGGTTAGGCATTTTAAGCATAAGAACAGAAAGAATAGGGGATATTAGCAACTTTCTAACAGTCTGGAAAGGGTTAATATGAAATATTTTTGTGTTTAGGTTATCGAATGAAATTAGAAGACAAAGATGATGCTCCAAATACTGGACGCCTTCATGTGGATTTTGCACAAGCACGAGATGACCAGTATGAGTGGGAATGTCAGCAACGGGCAATTCAGCGAGAATATCGTCACAGAGAACGTATGGAGCAGGAAATGTTTTGCCCACCTAGTCCACCTCCTGTTGTGAATTACTCAGACCATGAAGCTTCTCTCCTTCATGAACAACTACGAGGTTATTATTTTTTAGTTATTATTTTCAATCAAAAACAATCTAAAATACAAATTATAAAAATTTTTGTTTCTCATTGTCAGTCTAAGAGAGAGATTTTCATTTAAAGATAAATCAATAATAACTTTTTTATTTAATGAGCATTAGTCTGTTGATTGTATCTTCACTGTAACAATCATAAATGAGCAAAGCAGTGTGAAGTTTTTATGCTCTTGACAACTCATACAAAATCAGTTGGTAATTTGATAATTACCAAAACAAAAATCCAGTGAATAATAATGTACAATTTCATATAGTATTTCTATATTTGCCTGAATATAATGTGCCACAAATATAATGCGCACCCAGTTTGGAAAGGTTAAATACAAGAAAAGTTGTTTTTTTTACACATCAGTTCTACATTATGTATTGAATAGTTTCTATATACAGTAAACAACTATTGATGTATTAAACATTTCTGGAAATCTTTCATGTGTCAATTTTACAAAATTCATTGAAAAGTTTATACATGGTAATACACTAAGCTAATCATTCATCTTCACATAAATCTTCTTCATCGTTAGAATTGGTGCTATCATGAGATTCATCACATTCATCGGATTTGCTTCCTTGAACCTTTGTTTCATCCTCTTCTGATTCGCACAGCTTGTCATCATCCGTCTCTTTCATTGCATTGGATATGCAACATTTTTTTTAAACCTTTAATGTTGCTTTAATGATTTTCGGTGCTAGCTTCCAGTAAAATACCCAACAAAATGTCTTGGGAGGTATTTGGAGGGAAAAAGTGTGCATTATATTCCAGTAAATACGGTAGTTTTTTTTATGTTAATTGTTCATGATGGGATTAAAAATAAAGTGTGCCATATAACTCTGCACATTTTATATACAAATGGAATACTTTAGTATATCATTATATGTTTGAATGTTTTGATGTTTTTAGGTTTTGATAAGCTTTTGAATATTTAATATACTGAGAAAAGAGTGATGTGGAGTGTGCAAGAATCTGTGGTAACATCAGAGAATAAATGTTTTTTAAACTATAATTTAACAATAACTCATTTGCTAGCTTAATAATCTTGAAGCTTAAAAGTATTAACTGGTTGTCAAGAAAGAATATTTAATGATGTTGATAGATTTGCTCATATCATATGGTTAAGTTAAATAATAGTAAAATTGCTATGTAAAACTTTTTCATATTTTTGCTATATTGATTTAGTAGTCAAATAATTTAATGTATTTATATTCATTTTTCAAGGAACAGATGAATTAACCATGTTTAAAAGAGAGAGAGGGATGTTAAGGACATGCATTCACTTTTTGTAGCAATATAGTTTTGATATTTATAGAAAGTAATTATCCCACAAAAGAAATTTGACTATTTTTTTGATAAACAAAATACATCAAAATAAAAAAATTTTAAAAATCATATGTCTGAATTCTTTAGGAGACGAGTCTTTCCAAAATTCTGTTCAAGTTTTAATCACGTGGCTAGAAAGGGGTGAATGTAATAAACGTAACTGTGGCCAGTTTTATTCTATGATCCAGAGCACTAACAGTCATGTCCGACGCCTCACAAATGAGAAAATGCAGTATGAGGAAGAGTTGAACAAGGCCAGGCAGCTGCTAAAACAACGCATTCAAGCCATTATAATCCAGTGTAAGTTTTGTTTTGTGTGCTTGATTTTTTTATTTCATTTATTGGTAGAAGGCAGAAAGCAGATGATTGTAACTTTTATCTTGTTCAGATCAGCTTGTACATTCTTCTTCATTGCAATAGATTGTCAAGTAATCTATTCTTATAATACATTTGTAATCAAGTATTTATTTCTATATAATATGCAGTAAAAAAAATAATAACACTAAAAAGTAAAAGGCTGACAATTTTACAATTGTTTAAGGCTTTGTTGTTCTTTCTTTTAGAGAAATTCAACCCCAAACTGGTTCTGTTGCAACAATATGAGGGATTATACTTCATATTTTCAATTAATTTTGATAATTTTATATATACACATAGAAACTGCATGTCATAAAAAATTCAAATACTGTCCTTAACTGCCCCTTTTGAAATTTCTCATACCTGAGACTTCACTTTGCATTAATTTAAAGCACCATTGTTTTTGCAGAATTTGTCTGTGGCTGCTTTGTTTTATTTTGGTACTGCAAAAGGCATAACTTATGTATAGTTTTTTGAAATAATATTCTAAAAATATAATAAAACTATTGTATTCATATTCTTTGTTGAACTATAGCTTTTTCCAAGTATATGACTACTTTTCTGTTTCTCATAAAATAATTTTCATTACAGAATCTATTTTATAAGGTATTATACATTTGTCTAGACAACCTCAAGTATAATTTTGAAGTTTATTATAGTCATCTTTGCTGTGTTAAAAATAAGCAATGAGACTGGTTGCCAACAGCTGTCCTGAACGTTTAATAGAGCTCTCTAGTTTGGGGATAATAAAGATAATGTATATATTTCATTTTGCTGTTTTTCTAATGTGAGGTAGGTCAGTATAAGCTTTTGAGTGTCAAATTTGAGCTAATTTTAAGATACAGTGGTATTTTATGTTACTGCAAGGATCTTGAATTGCACTTTAAAGTGGTACAAGTATTATATAGTTCAATATATACAATATCCTACCAAAAATCATGAGACCTGGATAATTATTAATAAAACATGTCTTTATTCCAAGAAATTAATAGTGTGTTGGCCCGCCTTTGGTCTCAATGACTGCTTCAACGTGTCTTCGAAGACTGCCTACTAATTTCTGGTAGAAAGCTGGTAGTATTGTGCTCCACTCCTCCTTTAAAGCATTAGTAAGCTCCACTACCGTTCCTGTGGAGCAATGAGTCATGCTATATGCTCTTCCAGTTTGATGGATGTGTTTGTGTATGGAAGATGCCTGGAGAATGCTTATTACCTGAGTGTGTTGTCCCAACAGTGAAGTTTGGAGGTAGCGATATCATGGTCTGAGGGTGCTTCTCGTGGAATGGACCAGGTCCATTGGTCACAGTGCATGGATCCATAAATGCTGAGTCCTACATTGATGTTCTGAACAATTCTGTGTGTTCTACATTGTGGCAATTTTATGGTACCGCCCCTTACACCTTTCAACACGATAATGCTCCATGTCACAAAGCAAGGTTAATAACATCAGAACATTGCAGTGGCTAGCACAAAGCCGTGACCTAAACTTGATAAAACATCTTTGGGATGAATTAGAATGCAGAATTAGGGCAAGGCCAAGATGGCCCTCTTCAATGGAGATGTGAATAGTTGCAGGCAATCCTATAAGTGTTTCCATGACTCGTGGAGAGCTGCATGCCATGAATTCTTACAGAAGAGCTACAGTCCACAAGCCATTGATAACAAAAACAAATGCACACCATTGATTGGCATGGGGCAAGGCACACCAAACCTGGACCATGGATCAATGGAAAATACAGATTCTCTAGGATTTGACGGTGAGATGAGGTAGCCAACCTTCTCAAGGCTCGTCGGCTCCTGTCAGTCAGTATTTTATGCCTACCTGTTCGTTTCTTGGGCTCGTTGTCACCTGTGGACTTCCATTTCTTCAGCACATTGCCAATTGTTGACCTGGGAATGTTTAATTGTTGCGCAATAGCACATACAGACATTTTCCCAAAATGACATCCAACTATCCTTCCCCTCTAAAACTTTATTAGCTCTTTCCATGTACTCATTTTTTGGCGTACAAGTTAAAAATGACTTCCGAGCAAACCGCTGGCCACCCTTATAGGCCAAACTATTTGCATATTTCATCATCACACCTATTTTCCTGCAATCAGAGGTATATCACATGACTTTTGATAGGATAGTGTATTTCCAGAATTATTACTTTAACTTCAAGATGACCAGTTTCATTATCCATAATGAATATTGAGATAAATGCATTAAGAATTCTGTCCTTGTTTCTTGAGGTTTAATTAAAACTAAATATTTCAAAGTTAGGTGCAAATTTACAAATTCAGAAATTTTAAACCCTAACATATGTATTAAATTACTGTGCTGTTCAGAATTAATGTATATCCATTGTTTTAGCCTACCAGAGTAAATAATTATTTTTCATATAACTTTAATAGTGTTATTAAGCTTACTGAATAAGAAGAGCTTTTAGTTCAGCAATTTTTGCAGATTGGTGTTATGTCATGTTGGATGTAGTAATTAATGTTATCTTTATGATTTTTTTTATATTTTCCCATGAAAAAAGTAATCTACAATTAAAAGCAATTAACACTCTGATTAATGATAAAAGTAACTTAAAATTTATAAAGTAGTAGTTTACAATTAATTTTTTAATGACTTCAGTAATCAGTGTGATGTTTAAGCTAGTCAGAAAACATTGCTTTTGCTTATGAATAATTTGCATAGAATATGAAACATTGTTATTTTATTTTATTAATCAAGTGAATGGTTTTATTGATTGGCAAAATATGTGATCTCAGTATGTTAGTAATTCCGTACTGAAGAAAGCATACACATCAATGTAGTTATTTTTATAGAAATGAAATTTTTTTGTAACTCATAAAATAGCGTTAAAGTTTGTTCTAGTGGTACTTAAAGATGTATAAACACGCTATAAGATGAATATGAAACCAGTTGAGGAATATTCATAAGACAAGAATATACACAAGCATACTTCAAGTAATGAATAAAATATAAATTATCCATCTTACTTACCAGAGAATTAACTACAGTAAAGAAAGTTGATTCACATATAGTTACACAGTGGATAAATTCAGGTAGATTCAACTTGCATGAATTTGCATAATTTCCACATTAGGGCTTTTAGAAATAAAAAAACTAAAGCAACTAATTTTATAAAGATTAAAAACAAGTGACACTGGGTCACCTCACTAGTTTTAGGTCTAACCAAAAAGTAGGCAGATGATAAATATAAATACCATAATATAAAATACCTACTATTTACACATTTATGTATAGCACTTTTTTTTGCCACATAGGCTAAAAAGTTAGATTAAAAACCATAAAGTTCTAGCATACCATCCTTAATTTAGAACTACTGATTAGAGGTGGGAGCAACAAGTCAGTGGCACCCATCATCTATGTTGCTACTCTTAACCAAATAGCCCACAATATTAGAAGTGCAATGTGTGTTTCAGTGGCATATCATGATTTAAATGTTGGGTCTTCTGATCTGTAGCTTAGTGTGTTCATCTCTAAAATACAGAAATTTGTCTGCTTCAGTCTGTCATAGATTGGAAAATATAAACTGTCACTTATCTACCCTGATGTTTTACTTATAAGTTGTGAGCTGCTTGGTTTTGGTTGATGGCATGATCAGTAGATTTATCAAAATTTGCTTATACCCAGCTACTAAGCTACTAGTATATCAATAAATTTACAATTGAGTTCTTGATGTAAGCATAGATCATCACAGTTCAAAAAATTGTTTTGAATTGATGATGTTACTCTTTAGAGCTGTCCTTGGATTGGATTCCTAAGTCAGTAAAGGTAGTCTTCAACAAGTAATGGTAAGGAATAATTTTTGTGAGACCTAAGCTTATGTCTAGTGTGGATCTTTGAATAACCAACTGAATGATAGTAATTAGCAGATCTTCCTGTGATACATGGCTTTTTCCAGTCAACTTTCAATAATCTCTGTGTTTCCAAAGTCAATCTGATAGAGAAGGTATTCACGACCTCCAGTCACCAAAAAGTCAGAGACCATTTCACCAAGGCTCAAAGGAAGAACATCGACATGTGGCATAAACAAGCTGTGGTAAGTCTTGCCTAATTGTCAATAATACAAAACAGCTGGAGTTGAAAACACAGACACACTGATGACATAAAGAATAAATGACACATTGCTTCTTAACAACATTTATGTAACAACACAAGCCTTGACTGGTATCTCAATAACACTTTGCCACTTTTTGCATGATTGAATAAAATGAAATTAAATTTTTTAACAAATATTTGATTACTGTAATTAATAGAACATTGAAACATATGACATGCACTGGCTTTTTATTTTGCCTTCATACAGTTACAGGTTATGTTCAGCTTTAACTAAGTAGCACACTGTATTTCCAAAAAATTTAAAAGCAGGTGATATTTTATTAATAAGATGTAACCATTATATTAGTGTATCCTTTTTTAGTGTACTAAAGAAAAATTATTTTAGAACTCAGATTATTGGTAGAAAACATTTACACATGTATTATATTTGATAAAATCACAAACTATAGAGAATATACCATAGACATACATTGTATATTGTAGCTGGTAACACACTGTGTTTATAGTTTTAATATTTACAAGTATAACACACATAATAAAGTATACCTACTCTCTTATTGAAGTTGGAGACGCATTTTAATATGCTGAATTATCTTGTGCTGTATTAAAGCAGTTTTAAGAAATCTTTAGATCCGTTTGCAATGCCTATGCATGTATTGGGATATCTAATGACAGCTGAGTATCAAACAAATGAAAATGTTTGCTTTTTTCTATTATTTAGTATGCTTTTATTGGCATTTTGTTGACCACAATTTGCACTTCTTTTGGTTTTCATCTGTTTAATATGAACATCTGAAACTGTTAAAACTATTCAGAATTAATTGCGTTACCAACATTGTCTTAGTGTGACATTTTAACTTTAACAGTAAACAGAGAAGTAAAATATAATAAGGATTTGCATACTTGGACCAAAAGCACATCACCCAAATGTGTAGGATTCGTGAACACATTTCTTAATAATTTGATAATGAAAAATAATTCTGATTGTGGTTTTTCTAAGTTATTAGATGTAATTACTTCTAGGGTTTCATGCATTTACTAGTGTAATTTTATTTTATGATCATCATTAGCACAATCAAGGAATCAGGCATTTCTGTGTAATTTATCTTTGACTAAAATCTTAGTACTTATGCAACATAAACTTGAAATCAAAATCACAGAATTCATGCACTAATAAATTTAACTTACAAAAAATCAATTTTTATCTCAGCTCCAGTTCTGTTTGTATTTGAATGTGTATGAGGCACAGAGCAAGATCCAGTATCTGTTGTTATTTCTAATAAATTTATTTACAAATACTTTATTGATGTCTGGAAAGAAAGACACTTGCAGTAAATAAAATTATGCATGTAATTTAACTGATGTTCTCTGTTTTTGCTCTGTGTCTTGATTTGTCAAAAAGTTTTCAAGGTACATTTTTTTAGTATCTTGAAAGACCAGCCAAGAACTAATGTTTCCCAGAAAGAAAATGGTAATTCACTTCCTTTTAGTGTAGAAATTCAAGTTGTTTTTTTTCCTGAAAATTTAATGTCTAATGACAATTTTAGTCTTACCCTTACTCATAAATCCATGAAAATCAAATCTTTTATTTTAAGAACTACACCACAGACAGTCTTAAATTTTATTTTCATAATAGGTTTGATGTAAACATTTAATGCAGTTTTTGGAACTACATGTTTATATATTCATACATTCATTTATATATCCACATTAATTCACTTAATAATGGAGAATAATAATTCATAGGAACAGTATCAATATCCAGTTTAGTATTTTTTACATAAATTTGTATTGTTTATTAACTTGCCACATGTATGAATTCAATAAATGGAGTAAGAATAACTCATGTTCTGCTACTAATTGCCAGACCATATAAGTTTGCTTCACATTAAAAAAAGAAAATCTTAATATTACCTCTTTGTTTTACCACATGAGTTGTTTATTACTAAAAAATTACATGCTTTATTTATCATCAGACAGTTGTTTTCTCTGAAGTTTTGTGCCAAATTATGTAAAATAAACTCCCTCTATATATATAAATAATATCTTGCACAATAATAATTGAAAAATAGTACAAGTTAGAACTTAAAATAGAAAACCATTATGATTAAACTATTGATCAGTTCATGGAAACTAGTTGGATTTATGTAAAGTGAAAAAAGTAACAAGGCCCTTTTTTTTCTAGTGGCATTTGATTATAGAGGTAGCTGAAAATGATCAATTTTAACTAAAGCAAAAAAAAATAGTAAGCAAGGATTTTTTTCTAGTTGCATTTCATTACAGACAGCTGAAAATGGTTAAACATAGATGAAAAGCAAAAATGAGCTGTATACTATAAGTTTATAAAAAAAAAGAAACAGCAAAAGTAATCTTAAACAGTTTCTTTGTACATCCTAGTTAAGTAAATATTCATTCTATAAAGAATTAAACTTGGAAGGCTCACTAGCATATTTAGGAAGTGTGAACTTCTGGCATTTACCGCAGTCATTAAATTTTGGTTACAAGTTTTTTTGAAAGTAGAGATTAGCAATTTCACATAATACTCTTTTTTTTCTTTTTTTTTTGGTATAATACGGTTTTTTCAAAGTGCATATGCAAAGACTAAGCTAGGCTTTGCTTTACTTTGGTTCATCTTAAAAAGGATAGAATCAAGCTAAGATTAGAATAAAATAATATGAAAAGTTTTCTGTGTGTTTGTTATAAATGCAAAACAATATTGAAGTTGAAGAACTATACTACATAAGAAAATGTTTATCGAGCAAACTTCATAATTACATTTTGAGTGTTTTTATTAAAGTTGAACATTTCTTTTTGGGATACATCAGTTAACTTGGCTTGTTAGTAAATTTCTTATCTGGTTCAGTATCATCGCTTGAACCCAGATAAAGGCTTTGGTGTAAAATAAATTTTCTAAACAGGTAATAATTGTGTAACTCCAGATCTATATAACATGTTGAGGTAAGTTCAGAAGGTACAGTAACTAACATTTCTTAACCTATGGAGAACTCATTCAGGTTATTAACCATCTCATTTAGGTATTAATCTTGAGAAAAGCAAAAGAATTAAACCCACTCTTTTAATATTCAGGATATCAATTTACTGCTGATGGCAACTTGTACCGTAAGTCAATCACCCTGTTAAAAAAAATGAAATGATGTTAACTAGAGCATGGCTTTCCTTTTCCAAACCTCTTATTAAATTATCTTCAGAAAATAGCACAAATAAATCACAGGCCTTTATCCTATGAATCTCATGTATAATTTTATAAACTTCATTAAGATCACCTCTTTTCCTTTCTTTATAAAATGAAAATGATCTATTCTTGTAAGATAATCCTTTCATCCCTTGAATCACCCTAGTAGCCTTCCTCTGAACCTTTTCAATAATTCTTTTTTAGATAAGGAGACCCAAACTTTGCACAGTATTTAAATGAGGCCTAATTAGAGACTTGTAGAGAAAGAGAAATAATTAACCTTTTTTTAATCAGTATGTCTGTAAATGCACCCTAAAACTATTAAGTATGGGCATGGCTCTTTTGTGCATATTACAATGTTTTTAGTTTCATAGTTACATTTAAAATTTAATTTAACAACTTTATTATTAATATATGTCAATAAAATTAGCATCAGAATGTAGTTATAATTCAAATTTTTATCTAAGTTTTAATTTCTTAATTTAAAAAGAAAATATTTAAAAAAATTCTCTCTTCACAGTGACATAAAAGTGCTTTCAGTTCTCCCCATTAATAGTATGCCATGTACACCATCTAAATTATGTAGACACAATCTGAAAATAAGTCCAAGATTCAGTGTACAGTTTCAACATCCTAACTTCCACATTTAGTGAAATAGCAATAACATTTCTCAATACACTACAAAAGCCCCATCCATCTATATATAACTTTCAATGCAGTTTTAGAAACCAAGAGATCTTACTTGGTGAACATGTTTATAACCAACAGAAAAATCTTATTTTCAATTTCAAGCTTATAGTGATCCTTTCAAAAAGAGAGACAGTAGATGTTAGATTAGAGGTTTTGGTTTGTCCACCTTGGGAAACAATGCTGATGTTCATAGCAGTTAATGATTATTTTAACACATTTATAGCTCGTTTAAAAAGACAATTAAATTATGGTTGTTTTTGGACATTCTGTTTTAGTGAACTATGTATTATTTATGTTTTCAAAATGCATATTTGAAAAGTGCACAGTTTGTTGGGTTTTTTTTCATCAAAGAAGTTAGAGAAAATTCTAACAAGGCTTAGCTCACTAGGCAACGAGGGCAGAACTTCACATGTGCAGCAGGTGGGTGTAATAGAATCTGCTAATGTCTTTCCAGTGTGATGTGTTGATTCTGAAGGATGAATAAACTGTAAACTGTAAAAGTCAGGTAATAAAAATAAAGATGTGACAACAAATTATGTAATTAAAGAAGGAAAAGTAAAAGGTATGTTATTTTTATGTCATTTTCAAAATTTTATTTTACTTTATATTGATTAATCAGATACAGTTAGTATTAGGGTAATGAAACTAACAGATAAAATGTAAACTTTTGTGTTAAGAAATTTTGATATTAATTTAGGAGGCTCTAGGGGTTATACAAATTGATTATGAAAAGTGTAAGATGAAAAGAAGTTTTTTTATTTTTAACATGAAAAACACCTTTCACTCAGACTGACTCAGTAAAAGGCTTTGTAAATTCTTAGACATATCTTTTGTAAAATGCTTTGTTAAAAAATATGATTTTTTGTGTACAGCAGACTTGTAAAAGTTTACTAAAAACTTAAATTTTGTGAAGTTGCACTTAGTAAATTTAGAATTATAGCAAACATTGCTATGTATAGCTTCATAGAAACAAGAGTTGGTTTTAGTATATACAGCCAATAAAAAAACTTGTGTGAATTTTAAAAAACATACTTCTTTTTAATATTTAAGACCACTGCTTTGATGGCTTCGGTGATTTACCACCACTATGTCAAGAT